AGAAAAATTTGCAGTGTGAGATAGGCAAGAAGTAAGGCATGTAGCAACATCAGCACGGCAAAGGGCACTCCTCTAAAGGCAAGGAAGGGCAAAAATATTTTAAGACAAGTGATAGCGATTGCTGTATGAGTCGTACGATTTTTGAATCAAGCACGGGCAACGCCGGGCCATGCTGCTAGTATTTAATATTTTTCTTGTCAATTCACAAGAACAAAGAAATTATATAAATTCATATTTATCATCTGTTCAGGTATTATTACAATTCTAATCATCGCTTTATAAAACGATAATGATTGCCGAAGAGTGAATTGAGTTAAAAAAAATTGTCGCGGTGTCATGGGAAAAACCGACTTTTTGATACTCCATCATATTGCAGGTCGAGTTGTCCATGCCTGCCCAATTTTCTTAGATTTCATAAGTCTCCTATCACTATACTTTCCATTATTGATAGAGCTTTCCTTTCTAACCTTTGGTTTGAGATCGTGAGGAATACGAACAGCCTAACTATATCAATATTTTCTCGTTCGCCGTACATTATTATTGCTTTTGAATGTTCTCGAATTTCTGTAATTTGATACAGTTCTGATTTTGTGAATCTGTAACTTCAGTCCAAGAATTTCGAAGAATCATTGTCATCGCTAAGTGTTACACGCTTCTTTCGTTCGAAATAATTATTAATCATAGGTCTGAGAAAAATTTCGCATGCAGCTAGCAATTTAGATATGTCTAAACAGGGTTAGCACCATGCATGGCATCGATATGAATGTGTCGATTGAAGGCAAGTTTCAAGCAACATCCGGGAATTTTTTGTTCGTTTTCTGTTTTTTGTCATCTGATGAGAAAAACTTGGTCCTGGACAGAAAGTCCAACCGAAAATAATACTGATGTTCAAGCCGAGACCCTAAAGTCTCTGGCAAGAGATATGGTTGTGGATATGCGGCAGTTAACTTCCACACCTCTTTATCCCTTTCTCTTTGGCTTAAAAGCCATTGCTGCTGACAATAAGCAGTTGTATGACAAGGTTATAAGACCTTAGATAGAGATCGTGAAGAAAGCATGACAGCACGCCTTCTAAGAGACGACGCTGTCCTATGAGGATAATATGGCTTAAAATAGAAGAGTTGCAATATTAACGATCTCGTCACCACAATCCTTTGGCCTCCCAGCTCGTCAGACTTAAATCTGTTGGATCACTACGTATGGAACCTGGTCGATATGGAAGTTAATCAACGCCAGCATAAAACTATAAAATATTGGAAGTCCTCCATATAGGGCACAATGTCCAAAATTAGTAAATATCATTTGATTTGGGCATATCAACATTTCCGACCTTTTATTGAAGGGACAATCTAAGCTAACAGCGGATTCATTAAGTAAATGCGTCAGGAATCATATCAAGATTCGTCATACCAATGTCCTCACAAAAAAGCTCTTATAATAATGACTTACCAATCCCTTATAGTTCAACAATCTTCCACGATCTCTAGTTTAAGCTTAATGGAACCTACACTTGGATGCTGAGAGCTATATTTAACATCTCTAAGTTTGGTTTGGTTTACTTTGTTTTAGATGAGGTATTGTAACTATTTACACTATTTACATTGTTCGGACTGTTATCCTCATCTTTATTGTCATATTCACCTTCAACATCTGTCTCTATTTCTGAGATGAGGTATTGTAACTATTTACACTATTTACATTGTTTGGACTGTTGTCCTCATCTTTATTGCCATATTCCCCTTCAACATCTGTCTCTATTTCTGAGATGAGGTATTGTAACTATTTACACTATTTACATTGTTCAGACTGTTGTCCTCATCTTTATTGCCATATTCATCTTCAACATCTGTCTCTATTTCTCAGATGAGGTATTGTAACTATTTACACTATTTACATTGTTCGGACTGTTGTCCTCATCTTTATTGCCATATTCACCTTCAACATCTGTCTCTATTTCTGAGATGAGGTATTGTAACTATTTATACTATTTACATTGTTCGGACTGTTGTCCTCATCTTTATTGCCATATTCACCTTCAACATCTGTCTCTATTTCTGAGATGAGGTATTGTAACTATTTACACTATTTACATTGTTCGGGCTGTTGTCCTCATCTTTATTGCCATATTCACCTTCAACATCTGTCTCTATTTCTGAGATGAGGTATTGTAACTATTTACACTATTTACATTGTTTGGACGGTTGTCCTCATCTTTATTGCCATATTCACCTTCAACATCTGTCTCTATTTCTCAGATGAGGTATTGTAACTATTTACACTATTTACATTTTTCGCACTGTTATCCTCATCTTTACTGTCATATTCACCTTCAACATCTGTCTCTATTTCTGAGATGAGGTATTGTAACTATTTACACTATTTACATTGTTCGGGCTGCTGTCCTCATCTTTATTGCCATATTCACCTTCAACATCTGTCTCTATTTCTGAGATGAGGTATTGTAACTATTTACACTATTTACATTTTTCGCACTGTTATCCTCATCTTTACTGTCATATTCACCTTCAACATCTGTCTCTATTTCTGAGATGAGGTATTGTAACTATTTACACTATTTACATTGTTCAGACTGTTGTCCTCATCTTTATTGCCATATTCACCTTCAACATCTGTCTCTATTTCTGAGATGAGGTATTGTAACTATTTACACTATTTACATTGTTCAGACTGTTGTCCTCATCTTTATTGCCATATTCACCTTCAACATCTGTCTCTATTTCTGAGATGAGGTATTGTAACTATTTATACTATTTACATTGTTCGGACTGTTGTCCTCATCTTTATTGCCATATTCCCCTTCAACATCTGTCTCTATTTCTGAGATGAGGTATTGTAACTATTTATACTATTTACATTGTTCAGACTGTTGTCCTCATCTTTATTGCCATATTCACCTTCAACATCTGTCTCTATTTCTGAGATGAGGTATTGTAACTATTTATACTATTTACATTGTTCAGACTGTTGTCCTCATCTTTATTGCCATATTCACCTTCAACATCTGTCTCTATTTCTGAGATGAGGTATTGTAACTATTTACACTATTTACATTGTTCAGACTGTTGTCCTCATCTTTATTGCCATATTCCCCTTCAACATCTGTCTCTATTTCTGAGATGAGGTATTGTAACTATTTACACTATTTACATTGTTCAGACTGTTGTCCCTCATCTTTATTGCCATATTCACCTTCAACATCTGTCTCTATTTCTCAGATGAGGTATTGTAACTATTTATACTATTTACATTGTTCGGACTGTTGTCCTCATCTTTATTGCCATATTCACCTTCAACATCTGTCTCTATTTCTGAGATGAGGTATTGTAACTATTTACACTATTTACATTGTTCACTGCTGCTGTCCTCATCTTTATTGCCATATTCACCTTCAACATCTGTCTCTATTTCTGAGATGAGGTATTGTAACTATTTACACTATTTACATTGTTTGGACGGTTGTCCTCATCTTTATTGCCATATTCACCTTCAACATCTGTCTCTATTTCTGAGATGAGGTATTGTAACTATTTACACTATTTACATTTTTTTTTGTTATCCTCATCTTTATTGTCATATTCACCTTCAACATCTGTCTCTATTTCTGAGATGAGGTATTGTAACTATTTACACTATTTACATTGTTTGGACTGTTGTCCTCATCTTTATTGCCATATTCACCTTCAACATCTGTCTCTATTTCTGAGATGAGGTATTGTAACTATTTACACTATTTTTACATTGTTTGGACTGGTTGTCCTCATCTTTATTGTCATATTCATCTTCAACATCTGTCTCTTTCTGAGATGAGGTATTGTAACTATTTACACTATTTACATTTTTCGCACTGTTATCCTCATCTTTACTGTCATATTCACCTTCAACATCTGTCTCTATTTCTGAGATGAGTTATTGTAACTATTTACACTATTTACATTGTTCGGGCTGCTGTCCTCATCTTTATTGCCATATTCACCTTCAACATCTGTCTCTATTTCTGAGATGAGGTATTGTAACTATTTACACTATTTACATTGTTCAGGCTGTTGTCCTAATCTTTATTGTCATATTCACCTTCAACATCTGTCTCTATTTCTGAGATGAGGTATTGTAACTATTTACACTATTTACATTGTTCAGACTGTTGTCCTAATCTTTATTGCCATATTCACCTTCAACATCTGTCTCTATTTCTCAGATGAGGTATTGTAACTATTTACACTATTTACATTGTTCAGGCTGTTGTCCTCATCTTAATTGCCATATTCCCCTTCAACGTCTGTCTCTATTTCTGAAATGAGGTATTATAACTATTTAGACTATTTATATTGTTCGGACTGTTGTCCTCATCGTTGTTTTTGTATTCGCGATATTCCAGCCGTTGTACGCTCCGGCCTCTTTTTGATGATTGGAATTTTGAGCCGAACCTTTTATTTCATTTTCCTCGTTTCACGTGTCATGTATTTTTTTTTCAGATATTTCACTTATTTCTCTTTAACTCAACCCTCCAATTTTCTCGTGTGGCCGGGGATTGAAATCACAACTCTTTGGTGCAAGTCACTGGATCACTTCATCCAACGTATTTTTTTATCCACTGGGCCATGTGTAAATATGCGTAAATAATGTAAATAATTACAATACTTCATCTCGGAAATATAGACAGATACTATGAATTATATTGTATCAGGCACATTTGCTTGATTGATTGATTGATCTATTTGTTTTTTTGTTTTTTTTTTTATTGTTTTTTTTTACGACGTTTTATCAACCTTTTGCGAATTATTTAAAACCAGGAAATATTTTTAGATTGTAAGAAACTTTAGAGATATCAACGATTTACTGACACAAGATCCATTAATTAACCCAAATCTATAGGGGAGAAGATCTGGGTTCATACCATCCCCAAGGGTATTTGCGTTTCAGCAGATATAACGATACCAAAATAGGGGTTCGAACTTATGAGTAAATATGGAATTGGTTTTTGACCATATCACGTTGAAATACCGCTTTCCGTACGATCACAAAAGTTAAGTAACGTCGAGTCTGATCAGTATCTAGATGGGTGACCACTTAGGAATACCAAGTGCCGTAAGCTTGGAAGTACAGGTGGTGTAATGTATAATGACCCGGAATTGTTAATCGGGGAACCGAGTTTCAATTCCAGCCATGTTCATTATATACACTTACGTGCAAATACCCTTCGAAAAAGTATGAATCCCTCACATCTGCACCAGCTATGGGTTAATCTTACATATTATAAAACGCAGATTGTGTGTGTGTGTGTGTGTGTGTGTGTGTGTGTAACGTTTATATATTGGATGGGATTTCCTACATTTTTCAACCTATTTCAACAAAACTTCACAGGACTACATAAAATTACCTTGTGGTGGTTCTAACAGCGCCAAAAATGGGAAAAATATAATTGTTTTTGCACAAAATCAATTCGAAAACACGATTAAGAGACATCGTGAAAATGGAAGGGGGACAACTCACATCGGGTTGTTTGTGCGTGTGGGTTCCTTTAAATATGGGAGCGGATTTCCTATATTTTTTAACCGATAAAACAAAACTTCACTTTTTTTTTTTTTTGCCAGGTAGTGTTTCTTAATCTCTTGCAGACTTTTTTCTTTATTTTTAACATTCAGAATACTTTAAAAATTCCATTTACAAGACAATTATTTATAATAAAATTCTATTCAATCAGGAGACTCATAACGATTGAAAACAATGTTTTTGTTTGCGTTTGGGTTTGACCAATTCGTAAAATTAAAAAAAAAAAAAAAAACTAATTAAGACATGCGTGTCCGTCAACCTTAAACAATAATCTAACGATCTCTACTGATTGTACGAATACAAAAATCGGATAAATTCTTTATCTTTAGGGAAAGATAATGAAATCTAAACATACACATGTCCTAACTAAAAATAATAACCGGGACGGGAAACTACTTTAAATACACATAGTGTCCAATTTTTTTTAACCTTATTCAATAAGTAAAAATCATAAATTGTAAAAGATTATTATTACAGAAAGATTTGTTAGATCATAATTAACAAACCCAATAAAGTTAATATTTTTTGTATTAGAAACAACGAGTGGAAAATATATTCAAATCAGAATTCTAATTATGAATCACCACAAAGCAAAATATGCAATTTTTTTACTGTATTCAATAAGTAAAAATCATAAATTGTAAAACTAAAAGATTACAGAAAGGCTACCTACATTTTTCAACCGATTTCAACAAAACTTCACTTTTTTTGGCATGTAGTGTTTCTTATTGTCTTGCAGAATTTTCTTTATTTTTACATTCAGAATGCTTTAAAAATTCCATTTACAAGACAATTGTTTATAATAAAATTCTATTCAATTCTCTCGGTAGAGACTCATAACGATTGAAAACAATGTTTTTGTTTGAGTTTGGGTTTGACCAATTCGTAAAAAAAAAAAAATTAATTAAGACATGCGTGTCCGTCAACCTTAAACAATAATCTTTGTCAATTTTATTTTTCAAGTCTTTATGATGGTCGATACTTGATCTATCTCTTACTGTTACATCCCCGGGCAACGCCGGGCTCTACTGCTAGTTATTAATAGTTCTATCACTAATTCATTATTATCTAGAACAAAAAACAAAGAATCCCATAAAATCTAAAAATGTTGCCTGGCTGTAAATAACCAGGAAAGGGTTGATAAACCGTAAAAAACGGATGAATGCATCAAAATCAATCTTCCTTCGTATTAAACTACTGGAGTTATTTATACCTTTATGTCCGCCTTTAATTATGTCCATTCTTTTTTATACTATTATTATTTCCTTTGATTCGTGTTGTATACAGATTTTCTTCCAGGTCACAACCAAAGACCTAAGGTGAGAAATGGCTTCATGATATATTCCACTGATCATTAAAAAAAAAAATTCACTCATATTTTACATAGATAAATCTCTTCGTAAGGTGTGTGTGAGCTGTACTTGTGAGTAGAATATTATGTATTTCCTTAAGGCATGTGCTACCAGGAATCCGTTTAATGAGTCTATCGGAACTTTTTCCAATCAATCCGACAGTATCAACTTGAAATGGAATTGTTAATGTCTTCATGTACCATATTTTCTTTAGATTTCTACTTCAAGATCGTTGTATTTTGATAGTTTTTTGGAAGATTTTCAAAGATACATTACAATGTACAGGGACTGTCATGTCAATAAGAAAGCACATTCTGTTCTTGTGATTTTTGATTACGATGCCTGGGCGATCAGTTTTGATTGTATCCTCTGTGTTTATTGCAAAGTCCCATAAAATTAATACAGGTCCTATCTCTGTAACCGGGTCTGAGTGATGTTCATACCAGTTTCTTGCAGCAGACTTCTCTTAAAAGTTTCCTATTTTCCAGTGAAAAGAATTGGCCCACTCTTTCACACCGAATTTTATATTCAGTGGGTCCTAACACTGTACAACCTCATAGAAGATTGTCAGTTTTTCCCAGGTATTTATGGCAGACTTTTTCTCTATGTGTGCTTCCATAAGTTGCATATATTTCATTGCAGATATTGGCCCTCTCTGTCATGGCGGGTTTTATATCCAGTGGGTGCCAATACCGTGCAGCCTGATGCATGTTGTTTAATTGTTTATCGATACTTATCACGGAATCTGCATTTTGGGCTAACATAGTTTTTAAACATATGTGATTTGTAATTTCTAGATAGCAAGCATCGTTCGTGTGCAGCAAGAATAATACCTTCAGTTTCAGATTTAAAACCTGTAATCCGTAATCACTGATGGCTACGGGGTTTGTCTACATCAGCTTGATTGGTACGGGCGGATTATTGAGCGCCCAGGCGTTTATTTTTCCAACGTTCCAGTGTCTGGTCGGTTTCATTTGCCTTTCCTTTATATTTTAAGTATTTTGCAGCTGATGCCGGTGTATTATGCTTTATTTGCATTCCCTCACCCATTTTAAAACTCTTTTTCTTAAAATTTTGTTTGAGTTTATTAATTTTATTTCCTTTCGTTTCTATTGAATACACATTTCCTTCCGTGTACCCACCCAGAAACCTAAGGTAAGAAATGGCTTCATAACATTTTCCATTGATCATTTTTATGATAGGAAATAAGGACACTAACATTATTATTATTATTGTTGGTACTAGTAGTGGTAGTAGTAGTAGTAGTAGTAGTAAAATTAAAATTATATTACATTTCCTTCCGTGTACCCAACCAAAAAACCTAAGGTCAGAAATGGCTTCATAACATTTTCCATTGATCATTTTTATAATAAAAATTAAGATCACTAACATTATTATTATTATCATTATTATTATTATTATTAAAATTAAAATTAAAATTATACTACATTTCCTCCCGGGTACCTAAGCAGAGACCTAAGGTGAGAAATGGCTTCATACCATTTTCCACTGATCATTTTATAATAGAAAATAAGGTCACTAACATTATTATTATTATTATTATTGTTATTATTACATTAAAATTATATTACTTAAATCTTCTCACTTGTCCGACAAATACTTTCATTAATCCTCAGAACAAAATTGTCGTTTTTGATGTTGTCACAAACTCATGTATTCAATTAAATTGATGAGTGGTTTATTATCGAATTGGTAGATTTCTATTCTGAGCGTTTTCCAATTAAACAAAGCAATTATAACGGAGACAATAAGAGAAAAAGATATTTTCTTCTGTCTATTATTCCAAAAGAAAATAATTATGAAATTTTAATTCCAATCGTATGACTTACAACGATTTTTTGTCTAATAAGAGGAGAAACAATACGAAAATAACATTTGCTAAATTCAAATCAAATCAAAAATACATAATGCCAATATATATATATATATATATATATATATATATATATATGTGTGTGTGTATATATATATATATATATATATATATATATATATATATATATATATATATATATATATATATATATATGTGTGTTTGTTGTGTATATATATATATATATATATATATATATATATTCATTAATATATATATATAGGTATTTCCTGTATTTGTGAAATCAAAATCATATATATATATATATATATATATATATATATATATATATATATATATATATATATATATATATAAGAGTGTATGTGTGTCCTTTTCTCATTAAAGATTCGATGAATAAATTGTTTTAGGTTAAAGGAAATGTTTCCCAAATATTAATTTTGTCCATTTCGTGTCGACTTTATCCAACTGTTTAAAATTGCTTTCAAAAATATCAATTATGCATTCAGACGTGAGAAGATTTTAATTGAAGGAAGAAAATAGATTTTAACGACGATAAAATATAAATTAGAACTTAGATGAATAAAAATAAATATATTGAGGAACGCAAAGTGATGCTGTCCCCATATTTCAACAGAGATTCATAAACAGTGAATTTTAACCAGCTGTTTGTTTTTTGTTTACAGTCAATGTTTACCCTATATAAGGCCCAGGAGCCACTCGCGCTAGAGTTTTAAAAAGTAAGAGAAACAGATTATAGGTATGTATGTTGAAGATTAACTTGGACAAGTCGTATAGATCGGAGAACCGTCCTATTGGGAGTCGCTACCTCAACGTAGTGGTTCAAGATTCATGATTTTATGTATGGCAGTGAGTGCCGGACGATGAACTCAAAGATGAAGTGAATACCTGAAGAAACAGAATTGTGGTTCTACAGTAGGGTGCTGAGGATACGACGTTATAAAGAAAATGGAAATAAAAAGGAAACTATTAATTAACATTAGAAGAAGAAGAAATCATTCTTATTTATTAACTTATACTTGGCATGGAATATGTAGATTCATATCTTTCAGAAGGGTATTTGCGCGTAAATGATTATAACAAACCCAACTGAAACTGGAACTCTATTCTTCGATTACCAATTCCGAGCAATGATCTATTACACCACCCGCACATCCAAGCTTAGAGGACATGGTATTTCAGAGGCAACAGGTGGAGTAGGCTACTCACCAAGTCAGCGCAAAAAAAAGATGGCGGTCAAAATCAAGATGGTTCGTGATTTAACCCTCTACTTCGGCTCTCACATGGCCCAGCATAGCCTGAGTTAAGAAGA